TTTGCAACCTTCTCTACTGAAAATGTCGTCAATGATAACAAAGGTTGCATCCTTGGGCTAGATTGAAGGGAGACCCACAAACTGTTTCAATTCGTTGACAGACGAGACAATGCACTATCCACTTTGTATGTCTTTGTGCATGCCCTTCCAGTGGAAACGTTTGGATTGCTGTTGTTGTTGCCGCAACTCTGGCTGAGAATACGCTACCCCCGCCACAGCAAAAAGAAAACTTATGATGTTGAAAGTTTTCCTACATTTGGAACACCGCTTTGTCTCCGTCATACTCTTGATGAACTTGCTATACATAATCACCGTTGCATGCTCCTATAGCAACGCGAACATGGACAATGGTGGCTGTTTGAACTTTCTCAATAATGAGTTGGGAAGAACATTCGAGTGACCTGGCTTGAACTCTATGGAAAATTCCAGTGCTTGAGGTTGCATTACCAACGTCTCTACTTGTTGAGGTGAGCTTGGTGTGTAGAACAGACCTCAGTGGAGTGCCATTTGCCCGCTACATGTGCTTCAGAATTTTTTGTTCCACAGAAAGCCGCATGAACGTACGATGTCTGTTAGTGGGGTGGCAATGGGATGCATAATTTCCAACAAACTTACATAAGTAGTTGCAATAGCCCAAGAATGAGCACAATGGCTTGATTGAACGACAGTTCTCAATTACTTTGCAAGCATTTCCCAAGTTGTCAAATAGATCCACTTGTTGAGCTGACGGTAGTTGATAGCCATCTTTCCTGAGGGCAAGCAATACTGGAGCTACAAATGACCGCAAGTTGTTTTCGATGAGTCCTTGCGCGAGCAACTCCTGACCTCGCTCCTCGAATGCTCTTGTTGGCGTTGGAGAGCCTGGCTCCAGATAATATGATGCCTTCTACCCGTTCTCTCGCTTGGCTCCATAGACGCAATATGCCGTCAGGAAACATGAGGAAATCTTGGCACTAGTTGCTTCAACTCCTCTGGCATCACAGTCCCTTGAATGTCCTGCAAGGCTTCCTCCTCCTCGCCCGATCGTGACCGTTTCTCCATACCTCTAGCAACCGCTTTCTCTCTGCATTCTTCTCACTAGATATGTCTGATTGTCCTTGTTCCTGCCCATCCAAGGTCCCCTCTCCTTTGAAACCCACTTTGTTCTCTGCTTTCTTCTCGTTACATAGATGGATCGCTGCTTTCACTGGATCCAGTTTCTCTCCTTTCTCCGTCCCTGGCCCTTCATTTCAGCCAACTCCTCCCCGGCCGCAGCTTGACTCCTATGCACCACTGCTTTTTTTCCTCCCAACTTCCTTCTTAGGGCGGCGGTTCGGCCCCTAGGAAAAGCCGACTCGTGGAAGGCTCGTGTCAATCCCTCCAAGAGAACCCGTCAGGAGCTACCTCCCATGGCTCCCAAGGTGACTCCAACCCCTGAACCAAAATCCACTCCCACATCTCCAAAGCAAAAACTGCACAGATTGGAGAATGGCGCTAGCCTGTGCAGGGACAATGATTCTTCCGCTGCTGAAGTGGCTGGCCGCGAAAGACTGAAAATGCCATACTCTCTTTCCCCTCAGCGCCACCTTAGAGTCTTCATCGTGCAAGTAAGTATTTGTAGGATCGAACGGCCAGCGAATTTACCCTAAACATATGGATTTGTTTACAGAAATTCTAACCCTTGCGAGCTAAAGCGCTAAAACGGTCGTGACTTGCGATTCGCGAGCTATCACTTTGCTTATTACTGTTGCTTCGAACATTTGCTTGAACAGTATGATTGATCTAGCATGGACGTCCCCATAGCTCTCATCAATCATTGCAATCCAGACGAGATCATGCACGGGAGGAACAGCCCCTGGCACAGTTCTTCCCAGGTTTCGTCCCAGCTCCATTCCTCGCCTTGACAACCACAGGCTTCCCACAGTAACCACTGACGGCCAGTCTTGCACAGAACAATTTCATCGATTGATGATACCCGTTTACTGGATTTCTAGAAAGAATGTGTTGGCCAAGTGCTAAGGGGACGTAAAGAGGACTGGACAAGAAAAAGGAAGACAAGAAGCGAAACGCTTTGGCTCGCCACAACCTCTTCAAGCAGTACCGAGCGAGCAAAAATTGGGCCGGCAAAAGTTTCGGGCCGGAGTTAAAGCGCTGCGGCGATAGGCTGGGATTTCGGGAGGCAGCGACGCTAAGATTGTATGCCTGGCGATGAAGCACATGCAAGAGCCCCAGCAGCGCAATCGTGGCGGTGGAGGAGATCGATCCATCCATCCATGGTGACCCGGCAGATTTCAGCAACTTCCGTGCCTTTTTGGGCAGATGATCCAGCGGTGGTGCGTCCCGTTGGTGTCGCAGCATGGGGCCAAGCAATCGATGCTAGTGCTTGGGGAATTCGGGAGCTCTCGACGCCGCATTATCGCGCGGGAGAGAGAAAGAGAGGCTTCTAACCACAACACAGCGTGAACAGCAGCAAAGCCAGCGTCGGGGAGTGCACTTCTTGCTTTGGAAAACTCCGCCGTGGAACAGTGGATTAGCGCTTTACAGCTCAAAGGTGAGTAAAATCAAGTAGCTTTTTGTGTTCTGCGATTGGCCATTTGTTTCCAAGCGCACACAACAGGCCAAGAATCTAGCCTCGATGGTTTCTGTTCATTGGAACAGTAGCCTGTTATGGAAATCCATCACATTTGGCAAGTGCATAGTGACCAAGATGAGACCTTCACAGTCAAAACCGATCCTCATATATAACAGAGGCTCTTGTGGAAATGAAAAACAATGAGGTACTTTCTTCTCTTGTTTTCCTTTTGTTCAGTCACTTCCGCAGGACCAATTACAATCGAAGACTGTGGAGGAGTTGCATATATCCTTATTACTACCCCGACTCAAGGATTCTGGTTGCGATGTGCGAGGGGGATTATTATAGTTATCACAAGTCGAGTGTCCTTGTAGACCTTCCGAACTTGCGATATTGCTCTAGAGACAAGGATGTCACGCAAATTCTTTGCCACGGAACGATAAAGGGTAGAGGGACATACTATAGCTACAGTGCACCGCTGACTAAGTGCGTCAAGAACATTCGTGGAACACTTCAAATGTGTAAGTGTGTTTATTATACAAATGGAGATCTTTAATCGTATTCATAGCAAAACCCTTTTTGTTATTAAATTTTTGGTTTGCTTAAGCCAATTTGTAGATGGTAGTGATATATTTAAAAATGTGCTTAAATATTTTAAAATATTCTACCATCTAAAGGTTGTTATTTATTTAAATTCATTTTGTATTTATAATTTATAAAACTTGTTTAAACACTTTCTAGTATATTCTTTTTTATTCGAATTTTTTTCCTAAACCTAAACTTTATGAAGGTTTCGGCCCAGGACTAGAAAAGCTGCATCTTCAATCACAGAGAGCTTCCTTCTAGGTTTAAATGTTTGGTCAAGCATTTATCTTGGCCCAAAGGTTCATCCCTCAAAAGTTTGAGAAGAGCCAATATCTACCATGTCGAAAAGAAACATTCATCATTTACATGAGCCCAGAAAAAAAAATTCACCGTAGGACTATAGTATAAGTGGATAATTAGATGCCTCATATAAAATAATTGATTTATATAGTAAAATGAGTATTACCACTCTTTAATGGCCAAGAACTTAACTTAAAGCTAGTGTCCTAAAGAAAAAACATTGCCATAGCAATGTTGAGCACAAGCACTTAACAACCTTAAGAAATGAAGATTAAATCAAGGCATAAGTATGGACATATCAATGTCAGAATTATGGGCCATAGCTAAACCTTAGAAACCCTAGTAGGAAATGTTGGCTTGTAAACTACTGCTCAAGGCTTTTTTCAGCCTTCTGTAAGTCAGATTTTTGAGGTCAGAAGATGCATAGTATTACTTCTGACCAAAACTACGCAGATTTTAAGTCAATAGTTTTACTTTTGATGACTGACCACTAAATTTGTCAAAATAATTACGTCTTTTTCTGAGACAACCTTATTGTTCAAAAATTTACTTGGCCGTTTTCTACGAGAGATATTTTATGTTATCTTTCTCATTGATTTCATCAACAATACCTCTGCTTGATCAAGTAAACCTGTTTCACCATACAACTTTCAAGTAATCTTTAATTTCACCTATTCATTAGAGCCATCATTCTATCACCATATAATGACTAGAGTATTCACTTTCTTGTTTTTCTTATTTATTTATTCTTTAGGGCTTAGGGTTTATCATTATATAGCATTAATATTATTCAAGTTTCTCATTATATATTTAATTATTTAGGGATGTCCTTTTATGGATGGTCTCAAGTAATCTAAATCTTACACCTTATATTAAGAACCCTAGAGTATGTTTAGAGTTATTTCATCAATCAATCATATTTGTCTATATATAATCTATTTTACAACATAACCATAGTTATACCTTAAGTAAATCTTTCATGTTTTAAGGTTTAGTAGATGCTTGTGTTACTGCTCAACATTGTTATAGCAATGTTTTTCTATGACCATTACTACTTATTTTACTATATAAATAGATTATTTCTATAATGCAACTAACTATTTACATATACTGTAACGCTATAGTGAATTCTTTTTCTAGGCTACTACCTTTAGCTAGATCTTTGGCTACTGATATATTAGTTTAGAATCAATACATCCTTAAAGAACCCTAGAATTCAGGGTTTAAAGCTTATACCTTAAACCCAAGCCTAGGGTTTGCAAAACCCTAAAACCTAAAGCTGGTGTATAAGTCTCAGTTATGTTTTCAGTCATTTGTAGTACTTCTAACAAAAGAAATTTAACCGTGTGAGGAGTGATATGATTTTCTCATGAAGTGTTTTCAACAACGTGATTGTTTGAAATAGTATTCGGTGGTTTTCTAGGCCTGAGAAATGGGAATTTTCATTACACGGTAACTTTGATCTCGCACTTGAAACGTTTGGCCAAATTCAGGAACCAAACGTTTTCTCTTGGACCATCTTGATTGCAGCATTTGCCAGGAATGGTCATTACTAGCATGTAGAATGCAAAATGAGGGAGTGAGGTTCAACGCAGTGACAATCTCGAGCGTGTTGACAGCTTGCAGGGACATCAAACAGGCTCGAGAGCTGGAAAGGCTGGCAACAGTGGCTGGTTTTGGGGGCGAGGAGAGAATCCTTCGGAGCCTCATCCACTCGTATGGAGAGTGTGGGAGCGTGGACGATGCTCGAGAGGTTTTTGACGCCATGGAAGCTGCTGGAGACCTTGTCTCTTGCACGGCTTTGATGGGAGCGTATGCTCAAAACGGGAATGGCATGGAAGCTCTGAGACTGTTCGAGAAGATGAGCTTGGAAGGCGTCAAGCTCGACAAGATCAGCTTTGTGAGCATCATAAAAGAAAAATGGACATTCGACCAGATTCGGGAGCCAGACATTGTTGCAAAAACTACATTGATGCACGCATGCGCTTGTGCTAGAGACTTGCGGCGAGGTAAGCTCTGTCACGAGCTCTTGATGCAAACTGGTTTCGACACTGACTTGACTTTGCAGAACACTCTCCTGAGCATGTATGGGAAGTGTGGAATGCTTGACGAGCTGCACGACATGTTCTGCATTATAGAAGCTCCAGACGCTGTCTCCTACAACTCGATCATCTCGGCTCTTGGTCACAACTCCCAGCCAAGGCAAGCTCTCTTTTTCTTTCGGTGCATGCTGCTTGATGGCAATCTACCAAGTCTAATCACATTCATCTCTGTCGCTCACGCTTGCGGGTGTATAGGCGACCCTAGGCCAGCTGTGGCTCTCTGTTCGCTGATTCAAGAGTGTAGCAGAGTCACGACTAGCGATTCAGTTTTGAGATCGGCTATAGTTGCGATGCATGGAAGATGTGGAGATGTGGAAGCAGCAAGGGAGGCTTATGAATCTTACGCAAAGGATGAGCTAAGCTGCACGTCAATGGTTGCTGCGTACGTTCAAAACCAGAAACTTTAGACGTCTTTTGTTGATAGCCAAAACCCTTGCCAATAACCTTATTCTAGTGGTGAGAGTTCGGTTTAGGGTGAGGGTATTGTTGGAAGGCGAGGGCGGCGGCGTTGGGGAGCTAGAGATCGATCAATCCCAAGATCTAGCCTACATTCCAGGTGTCCAGATGGGTAAGATTCTCTGTCACATAAATTTTGTTTCGGTGAAAACAGATGCATAGTGAGGTTTTTAGTCTTTGGTTTGTCTCTTGGCTTTTGTTCATCAATGGGCTGCTTATCTATGGCATCTACTTGAGCCACCAATCAAGATCCTCAGTAGGAAGCTCAGGCACGGCATTTCCTCTTTCTTTCGTTTCTCACAAAAGGATTCTTTCTTTTCATTTCAGGCTGCTTATGGCTGCTTTTTTTCATAGATGCACACCTGTGAAGGGGTTTTTGGTTTTATTTTTTACTTTGGTTTAAAATCCGGCTGCTCATCTTTGGCAATTTTTTAGTGATGTGCAGAGCCGCCTCAGCCAAGGAAGACATCGACGCATTTAGCGATGCACATGAATGGGAGTGTCTCGAGGATGGAGATGACAAGCCATATGTATGCAAGCTCGAGAACGTCCTTGCTCACCCCCTGGATGGAGTTTGTGATCAGCAGTTTTTCAATAAGGCAGCTCTGAATCAGCATAGGATCAGAATTCACAACCGTGAAATCGTACGTTTTTTGTATGTTTTTCTTTTCTAATATTATTTTTTCCAGTTGACAATGCTAAAGTCAGGAAATGGAAATGGGAGGAAGACTAAGCAGGAGTCCTCCTCAAGGAAGTACCAGGTGCAGAATTTTTTTTCCTCAAATCTCATTCGAATTTTTATGCAAATTTTTGTTATGCAGGATTTAGAAAATCAGGTGCATAATGAAGTGCTGCCACGCAGACTGGAGAACCAGAAGCTCAAGCTTCTGAACATGAAGTATAGCCACATCAAGGACGAAGAGAGCCGGAAAATAAAAATCCTACAAGATATTAAAACGTGGAAAAAACACTACACAGAATTGATGTTGGCGAATGACAACAAGAAGCAGGATAGACGATACGTGCTGCTCAACATGAGCAGGAGCTGGTAATTTTATTTTTTTTTGAAACGGTTTTACTTTGTTTTTTCTGTAGAGAAAGAGGAAACGCAAACTAAGGAAGGAGCGAGAACAGAAGAAGAAAAAGACTAAGCCTTTAGCTCTCGTTATTGTGCAGCAAGAGCATGAAGAAAGAGAACTAGAAACTCTGGTGGAGGGAGAAAGCTAAGAACAGCAAGAACAAACTTGTGTGGATGAAAATGCAGACAAAGAAAAGGTAAAGTTTTATGTTTATTTAGTTACTCGTCTTCAAACAAGCTAAAGACTAACCACTATTTTTAGAGAGATGACGGAATAAGGAATGATGAGGAGGAGTGACAACGATGTGAGCAGCAAGTGGTAATTTGCTTATTGCATAAACTAGTTTTTGTTCTTATCTCTCTGTATTGTGTAGCACGAGCATGAAGAAAGAGAAAGAGAAACTCTAGTGGAGGGAGAAAGCCAAGAACAGCAAGAAAGAACTTGCATGGATGGAAATGCGAACAAAGAAAAGGTAAAGTTTTATGTTTATTTAGTTACTCATCTTCATAGCTAAATACCAACCACTATTTGCAGAGAGATGCCAAGGAAAACGATGGAATTAGGAAGGAAACTTCGCCAAAAAAATTCTGTATGCTAATCTCTTTGAATTTGACCTATTATTTGGGGCCAAGATTGCCACACATCATCTGATTCGAACTAAGGATGCTCATCCAATTAAGATTCTTATTCATTGTCGGTCACCCAAAGAGATTAAGATTTTACGTGCAAACGTCAAGGAGATGTTGAAAAAAAGTGTTATTCGAAAGTTATGAAGTCCTTGGGTATGTGAACCTCATCTTGTGATGAAGCCTAATAAGAGTATTTGTTTCTGCATCGATTATCGTCCGTTAAACGAAGTGACAATCCCGGATATATACCCTCTTCCTCACATTGCTGATCTCTTGGATCATCTGGAGAGAACTCATTGGTTTACCAAGTTAGATCTTGTTTTTGGGTACTGGCAAGTACTGATGGTTGAAGAAGATAATTGTAATATTGTTTTTCATACACCATTTGATTTGTACAAGTTCTTGGTGATGCTATTTGATTTGAACAATGCTTTAGCAACTTTTTAGTAGATGATGGATGAAGTTCTATGTGATATGCCAAAGGTGACTGTTGACTTCATTGATGATGTCTTGATTCACTTGGAGGGGACGTGGGAGGAGCATGTCTGTGATGTTTATAAAGTGTATGGATCAACTATGAGATGTTGGTTTAAAGCTGAAGCAGTCGAAGTGTGTGTTTGGGTCCAAGGATATGACTTATCTTGGGTACCATATTTCTCGTGAGGGTTTACAAGTTGATCCTGACAAACTTATGGTTGTTATAAAGTTCCTTACTTCAAAATGTATGAATGATGTGCAACACTTCCTGGGTAAGGTGCAGTATCTCGGTTATTTTGTGGATCATCTTTTTGATTGCATTACACCATTGCAAATGTTGCTGAAGTCATCAACGTCATCATTTATTTGGTCTCCGGATTGTGAGTAGGCGTTCATGAATCTTAAGGGGCTATTGATGACTCTTCCGATTTTGGCATATCCTAACTATACTTGACCTTTTATTTTGCACGTGGATGCTTATGATATTGGTTTTGGAGGTTTGTTAATGCAAGAGAGCCTGAGTGTACCATTGTCAGCACCATTCTATTGTGTATATAAGTTATACATTATAACCAGCGAGTTAATGCAAGAGAGCCTGAGTGTACCAGTGTTAGCAACATTCTATTGTGTATATAAGTTGTACATTATAACTAGCGAGGTGAACTACTCCACGATAGAAAAGGAGTGTTTAGTAGCAGTCTAAGGTTTCGAGAAACTGCATGCATATTTATATGGTTCTTAGATGTTACTTAAAGGTGATCATGTTGCTATTACTTCATTACTGAAGCGAAAGAACCTGGTTGGTCATACTACTTGATGGGATTTCAAGCTTTAAATATATGATTTAGAGCAAGCTCAAGAAGGCCAAGGTAAGCTGGTGTGGATTTTAAGAAATTTAAGATTTAGAATTTAAAGTTTTAAAAATCTATAAACCTTCGAACTCAAGAATGGTGGCATTTGTCCAAGAATGAGCCAACCAAGCTGTCGAGATTCCAGCCCAAGAGCAACCATTTCTTGGAGGAATTCAGGGATTACTAGGAGGAGGGCTGCTATGAAGTGTTGCAGGGCACTAGCATGCCTTCCATCCAGTGAAGAATGGCTCTATGGCATGTGCCATCAGAGCTTACAACACCCACCATACCCATTGCTGTCCAGTTTGGATCCTTTGTCAATGGCAACACCGAGGCATTGCAATTGATCTTTATTGATCACAAGGGCAAGAAGGAGCTGGTTGTGTCCTAGACAACCGCACTTCGACTATGGGCTCCTGGCAAGGGAGATGAGTGTAGATATATCAAGGATGAGAAGGTCTGTGATTGGATCTTGCTAAGCTTCTTGACCACGACCAAGAATGATATGGTGGGGGGCAATGTGGTTTTTATGGCCACCTTCAAGAACTACTTTGAATACACATAAATGGATTTTTCCTGGATGCTTTCAAGCTTGTGGCTACTTTTGCATCATAGTGTGTTTGATAATTGTTTTTCTACGTGATTTTGTGCTCAACGTTGTGTTCTAAGATCTTGTTCGTGATCTTTTTCCCAGCTTTCATCTAATGTGTAGGATCCCTTTCATTACTCTTTTGGGACAACCGAGGACTAGGAGGAAATCGATCGGAGAGTGGACAAGCTGGACAAGTATGGCAAAATTTGCAAAAAGTGGCATGTCATGCTCAAGAAGATCACCACCCAGTTCATGGAGAGCAGCAAAGGCAACATGGACAAGGACTTTTGTTGCCACTAGATTAGAGGGGGGCCAAGCTCTCTGAGCTACACCACTGGCTGGATCTCAGCCTTTTGCATCTTCAACAAGGAGGGAAATTGGCATGGCAATATTGGGCAATTTGATTATAGGAACATGAGTGATGATATTGTGGGAGAGTATCTGTGTGTTTTGAGCAGGGCTACCTTGGATAAGTGAATGACAATGGAAGAACTTATGAGGCTTTCATATTTGTGGGACATATGGGATACGTGGTCACCTAGGATGACAAGAAAGTGATTGCTCCAAAGAGTGTCTGGGCCATGACTCTCAAGAACACACTCAAGAAGCCCAAGATCACTAGCTAATTATAAGTTCTCTAAAGTGAGGAGAAGAGAATATATCAATTTCACAGCTAACTATGCAAGAAGTGAAAGATGAAATTGTTATTTTCTCTAACAAAAAGAAAAGAAGAAAAGTAGCTTCTGCATATAACTTCCCAAATAAGGAGATATATTCCTTTTGGACCAATTTTTGAAGTAGTGGATAAAGCATTTTGGTAGTCTCAATCATTATGGCTGGAATTAAAGGAGTTCAAGGAGTTTCTATCTTCCTATAATATGAATATATTCTTTGAATTTCCATGAACTAATTCATCAAGTAGGAAGGGTATGGAGATACATCTTGATCTACATAATTGTTGTAGGGTAAAGATGATCCACTCTTCCCATTTCAATGAATCTGTATCCATATGGTAGACAACTTAAGTGTGTCACTAAGAAATATATTTCTAATCATAACAAGAACATATATTTCTTTGAAAGCTTAATGATTAATCCCCCAGGTGTCATGAGGTTGTTACAAGGTTTAGATGTCACAAATATGGGGCAACACCTGTGTGTTAAATATATTGTGATATAAGGATGTATTACTTTCTTTCATGAGATGACTATTTAGGCAGAGTAATAGTGCATGTTGAACACCATCAACACGCAACAGAGGAAGGAATCCTCTATGATTCTTTTCACAATTTGAAAGTTACCATTACTACAAGGTTTAGAAAGAAAAGTATTGCAACTCCAAAGTGTGTTCAATAGTCTATTCTAAAGGATTATGTGGTGGACACGTTACTACAATCTAATAGCAAAACAAATTTCACGGAGAACATCTTGAAGGACCTACTTTGAAATATAGAACTTGTGACAAATTTAAATAGGTATAAGATTAATACTTAACTCTATTTTATCACTAATAACACTATTTTTTTTTGCAGAACAAAGAATTGGATGCAAGAAGGGTAAGATGGAAACACTATTTGAGAGTAACCCTACCTTTAACGGACTAAACGGGAAAAGGAAGATGGTATGGATAGTAGAATATGAAGCGGCATTTATCCACCTAAAAAAGAAATTGAGGAAGACTTCTATATTGGCTTTACGAGACTTTGATAAGGACTTCGAGGTAGAAATAGATGTTTTAGACTTTGCGTTAAGCATAATTTTGGAACAAAACAACCATCCAATGGTATTCTTTTCAAAAAAGTTAAACAAATTTTAGCGAAAGTGTAGCACACGTGGTTTTGACCATTTATCCTATAGTGATTTACCATAGGATAACACCACGAAGCGGAACCTAAACCCTCTTTATGCCACATGACACATGCCACGTGTTATATGCCACATGTCCAAAGGACAGTGGTGTGGAACCCGAGGTTCAGGGCCTTGGGCCACTGAACGAAGGAACGGTGCCAAACTCCCAAGCATGAAGCCAAGGAGTGACGGAACCGAACCACAGAGCAACTCCCAAGCATACAGCCCAAGGAGCGAAGGGACAAGAGCCCGGAGCGACTTGGAATAGTCATGGAGCAACCAGCATCCCAATGCCAAGACCAGCATGCAAAACGGAGCCAAATAGAGTCTAGCGCTATTTTGGCATACTGGTAGCCTAACGTGAGGATATAGGTACTCCACCAGCTAGCATGGAATGGAACTTGGGCTTAGACCCAAACTGGACACAGAACAAGGACAGGCACACAAGCAGGAGCTAGACTATGCCTCAAGTTGGTCGGCTATGCCCGACCTACTCACTATTCCTATTATACATTTGAAACCTCCCTTAGTATCAAGAGTTAGTCTCTGGGACAAGCTCGAAACTTACTAAATATGGAATGTCCTTAGATTGTGAATTTGGACACGGGACGAACACCATTGTGTTCAGACTGATCTCTACATTCCGTAGATATGCCAAATGAGCAAATCTGGACACTTTCCATAAATAGCATTTGGGACCGAAATGAGACTAACACAAAGGGCATGATAGCGAGGGTGTTTGGCAGACACGGTAAGCTATCATCTAGCGATATTGAGGGACCAATCTCAATACGCAAGGGTTCTTGTCACTAGCAAGTGCAAGACAAAACGAGACGGGAACTCCTTACTGGGCTAAGTATGCTTAGCTAATAACACGTAGGAATTCCATTCTTATGCTCATCCGATTTAAGTACACTCGAAATGCCTAGTTAACTCCACTAGCACAAGAGGGACTGATAAAGGGTCTAGCAATACCGACCTCCTGCCGTCGTGGCAGTAAGGAAAGAGTGTCCGTAAGGACTAGTCGACAGGTAACTTTCGATACCCGAAGTCATATGCGCGACACTCTCCCCCCCTAGGGAAGATCGACGTCCTCGTCGATGCATACTCCAGTCTAGAATACCGCCAAGGAAACAACTCTAGAAAAAGTTCACGGAATTCACACTATGTGAGAAATGCACCAACTTAAATGAGTGAGGGGGCAACCTCTTTGTCTAACGCGGATGCGCTACTAG